TATCTACAATAATTTAAAAAATTCTTTTCTTGTTTGTTCTAATTTGTTTAAACTTCGAAAAAAATTATCACCAAAAAGCATCCGCACAAAAAAGTAATTAGTTTGTAACAACATGATACACCGATTATATATCTTTTAGAATAAATTGATAATTTAGGCAAAATATTCCATTCCGAAAAATTACAATAAATGAAAAAATTTAATCTCAATTTTTATAATTTCAAAAAAAAAGAAGAAATAATGAATGAAAATGAAATACTTCATTGCAATAAATATTAATCTGTTTGATGTAACGATGACGCAAAGATCACATTTTCAGTTTTTCTTTTTCTTACGCTAAATTCATTTTTAATTTATATATCTTACTTATAGGATAAAATATATCCCATATTTCATCATTAATGAACATAGTTTATTTTTTCATCAGTAATTGAATATTAATTAAATTATTTGCCTAATAATTTTAATAACTAATAAATTATCTACTCACAACGTGAAAATATATTGCTGCAACTAAGACTTTATTAAACATTGGTTAACTTAACGAGGAAAACATGAATCATTCCTTAATCCTCAGGCTATTTGGTAATAAACGAAAAGTTGAACCTTATCATTTTAGATATGTGTCTATTTTTCCCTATCATTTCAGTGTTATAAGATCAATTACTTTGCCGTTTTGAACTGATTTCAAAATTATAGCATTTAATTTAATCCGTTTCTTCTCCCCCCTCTTTTGTATCGTTAGGCGATGGAGAAGATGAAGCAATAATGCACGGTTATAGAATTAATTTCAAAAAAAAGAGAAATTTTTTTTTCAATATTTTACAAAATTTGCGAAATTTTTATCATATCCATCAATTTGTTACATTCTATTTCTTCTTGTTTCTTTTTTTTTAAGGTACATTTTCCGGATCTTAAGAAAGAAAGTTTTTCGTTTTTTTTTTTCATGGTAATTTTATTATAAATTTAGAAAAGTTCAATTAGGTTGAAATAAAGCAATGATAGTAGGAAGTTACACGTACTTGGGTAATTTCTTAACGATAGGTGTGAATTTTATTTGATACCATCAATGATAACCATACTAATATAATAATTATGTATTTGCAAATACATAATCAATTAATTATTAACTGATAAAGCACTACCCAATTTCGATTAATGCAAAACAGTTCAAATATTTCCTTTCAGATTTTCTCTCAGTCAATTCTCACAAAACTATTCAAATAAAATAAACTTGCAGATGTAAAATTTCGAAAAAGTGCGAATTCGTATATTTAAATATTGAAAAGCATTTTCAATCACAAATAAATTTCAACTCATTTTTGCTTCAACATTTCTCGGGATTTTTTTTTTTTTTTTGGAGAAAAAGGAGGGAGCAGGTTGATCACCAATTAATTAATTAACTTCGTTCATAATTTATAAAAAAATATAGCTCCCGCTGATTCCCGCTCTTTCTCTCCCTCCAAACTAAATTTCTCTCCCATTCAGGATTAAAAGACTACTTTTTCCCCTTTCCATTAGAAAGGGACCATCATAATTGAGAGATACTGTCCAAGAGATCCTGCCTCTCCCAACGGTTATTATTACACCTTCCCTCTCTCTCTCTCTCTCTCTCTCTCTCTCTCTCTCTCTCTCTCTCTCTCTCTCTCTCTCTCTCTCCTTTCAGGTGGAAAACATCGACAAGGAGAGCGATTAATGGGCAGCAACGGATGTATCTATCCGAGGGTTCACAAAATTATATGTCTTCATTTTTGCTTCTCTACCGCTAAACTCTTTTTCCGGAATACTTTATGGATATCATCCCTGTTTGGGGGGAAAATAGAAAAGGAGAGAGAGAGAGAGAGAGAGAGAGAAACGAATACCTGAAGTAAAAGAAGAGAGGAAAGAGATGGTAAGAGAGAGAGAGAGAGAGAGAAAGTTTGAAAATTCTCGATAACAACTCCACCTTCCCGTTACCATCGATTTTCACACACCGGTCGACGCATCGAGGAGAACTGTCATTCCGGGCACATACATCCCTCCCTTCTCGTCAACAACAGCAACAGCAGTAACAGCAGCAGCAACAGCAGCAGCAGCAATAGGAGCAACACGGCCTTTGCAAACGAGAATGGTCGATATCGAGGTAGGGAGAAGTGCGAGAGCCAGGCAATGGTATGTATGCCCGAGGGGAGTGCCTATCTCGCCATCCCAATCTCATCCCGACCCCCCGCCCTCTCCCGATGCTCCCTCCCTCCTCATCGCCTAGCAGCAGCAGCTCTCGTACCGCACCACCACCACCACCACCACCACCACCACCATCACCATCACCATCACCATCACCACATCTCCTTCTACTCCACTCATACCACCTCATCACCTACACTACCATACTTATCACCACCTCTCTTCCTTCTATTTTCCTCGTACATTTTCCAAATTACTCTATTCAGGTGTTTGAGGTAATAAACATACCTCAACTTCATCATCTCCCTCCCAAATACTCTTCCCCGTTCTCGTACTTTCCAATCATTCGGTAATCATAATATCTTTCTTTCTTGTCATCTGCACAAATATCATCATCATCATCATCATCATCATCACGGGTTAGGTTAGTTATCGCTTTTATTTCAATTCTCGAGAGACTTTTAAAAAGTCACAAAATTATGGTGCATTACTAGTCTAATTAGCATTTCATTATGGAATAGTTAAATTGAAAAAAATTCGAAACAATATGATAGATACATTAGGGAGATTTAAATTTCATACAGTATGCATATCCTTTTATCAGAAGATTGGCTGTAATATGTTAGCAGGATGCTAGAAATGGTGTCAAAGTGAACATTTCAATTTCTGATTTTAATTAAAATACACTATAACTGTATGTATCTGAAGTAAATTTAATTGAAAATTTACTGATAAATGAAGAATTTGAATTTATAGATGGTATCTGATTCGTACTATCGAAGTCTAATTGAAGCTGTACGCCAGTTACCGGTTCTTTATGATCGAGCACATCCGGATTTCCGAAATGTACGAAAACGTAATGAGGCATGGAAACTTGTTAGTGAGACATTGTTCAAGCGTGGCTTCTCGCCAAATGAAGGTACAAAAATTTCATTTTCAATACTGTTTGTTAGGATTGATAAAAAAAATCATTCCATCGTTTGTTTTTTTTCCTTTTGTCAAACATCGAGACATTTGACAATATTCATTAAAAATATCGCAGTATCCTTTACACCCTTTGTTACCGCTGTTTGAGAAAGTTCTCTTTTTCTCTGTTTTCTTCGAGTAACTTCAGTTATTCATATAGCCAGAATTTATAATTCCTTATTGGCTTCAGCATATTGGCTTATTATTTAACCATCATCGACTTGATTTATTATCAAATAACAAATTTGGAATCAATTATAGTGATTGGTTTTTTTTTTTTTGAAGTCCAATTATTTCTCACTAAACTATAATTTTCAGTGTCCGTAACAAAATCAAGAGATCGATGGAAAAGCCTGGTACAGCGATATCGAACCTCAGGACAGTTTGGGCCAGCATTTATGTTTACTGCAGAAATGCAATTTCTCGATGAATTCCTTAATGCCATACCGTCACAACCGTAAGTGTTTTTGTTACAGAGAAATCTGAAAAACAACAGTATTCCTTCTAATAGTCTAGGAAGAAATTTAGTGAAATCTAGTCTTAGAATATTATAAAAGATAGCTAATCATATCATTAGCATATAACTTGATGACTGAGCATGTTATCATAGCAGAAGTAATATTTGATAAATCCCATAGAAAAAGTAGCGAAAAACATGTATTTTGCAAATAGCTCGATTTAGTATTGTTTTTTTTTTTTTTGCTGAGAATACTGAAGGAGCAGAGAGAAGAAATTAATGCGATAAACAAATCTATTTGGCTTGTAGTATTTAATACTAATATAAATAATCAGTAAGAATTTCCTGAAAAACATACTTTTTTCAGTATTTCTTTGTTTCCTGGATTTTCTCTTTGATTAAAGTCTTGCTATATTTACCATATATTACTTTTACTGTAGTAGCTTGTGATATTGATCAATTTTTTTGCGAATTATTTTACCTGAAATTATTTAGACAGGATCATATTTTTTTATTAATGTAATGTATGCGCATTAGGAATTTTAGTATAGATTTTGGAAGAGTAGAAAATTGTATGGACTGAAAATTAGTGAGAAATGAAAACGTTGATAGAATTTGGCATAAAATTACATATATTGAATTCAAAGATAGATGTGTCTTTGAAAATAGTATTCATTAAGATAATATATGAGAATTTGTTTTAGAAATACCTTCAAATTAAATACATATTCTGAGTTATAGCAGAATTTTTTTAGGGCAGAAGCAGCAGCAAATTCGCTTCTTGGAAATATGAAAAAAGAGGATAGCGAATGGGAATTTCCAGCTTTATTTGGTAATGCTAATCAAACTGATAATAATATGTCGTTATTTGCAAATATGGATTCACCAGGAGGTTCCTCATCACCTTATGCGCAACAGCAAAATGATATTAATGCAGTTGATGGTGCCGGTACTGACGATGGATTGCTAAATGGAAATTGCAATTTTTCTAATGGGAATGGTGTCTCATCTGCACATTGTGTTCCCATATCAATATCTTCATTATCTGTAAAAGGTATTCAATTTTTCCAAGCATGTTTTAAGAACTGTACACAGAGAAAAATGTCGTGTAATTAAATTCATTAGAACCAGTGTATATATTTTAATTACAGATCTCATGGCACGAAAGCGGCCACGTCAAAATGTTGCGGATTGTCCAACTGCGTTGGAAAAAAGAATTGCAAGTAGTTTGGAAACAATTCAAGAATTTATTAGTAATGCATTTCAAAAGCAAAAAGAGCAAGAAATAGAGAAAGAGAAAAGTCCAAATGCTGCTTTATTTCAATGTATTGATCATCTCACTGCTGATATGTCACCAAAGGAACATCAGGAAGCATTGCGTGAAATCAAACGATCTTGTGTGAGCATTTGTGCCAGGATTATGTCAGAATCACAGCCATAGGTGTTATAAATTTTATCTTGATTTTATTTTGTCGTATTTAATAGCAAATGCTATTGATTGATTTTTGTTAAGTAAATCAATTGAAATTTATCATTTTTATCATAACTCTATAAACAAGTTAACTTCTTGGGCCTAATGCTCTTCATGCTCATGCGCAATTCCAGGGTACATTTACTGTCTTTCTTCCCATGGAGATAAGGAAATAACAAAAATTTTGGAAAGACTAAATTAATATGATGCAATGTATAAGTTTTTTTTTTTTCCTTTGGATGAATATCGCTGATATTATATTAAATTCAGGAGTAATTTATTCGTATTACTACATATTATTTGTAATATTTTTATTAGAGTTGTAAATGGCAATACTTTTTTTGTCTTACTTCATCCTCTCTTCCAATTTTTATTATGTTCTTGATCTCGTTCAATTAATGACAGTGATATTATGTTTTTCTTTAAAAAAAAAACATGGAGAGCAGTATGAAACATTTAGCCTAAGATTGTGATAATACCTTTCATTTGTGCGAAGAAACTGGCATTTTATCTCAATTTTTACAGCCTACTCTTCATTCCTGCTACAATTCCTTTTCAAAAATCATGTCGGTTTGGCTATTCAATTTATCAGCTAACTTTGTTTTGTAGTATATGAAATTGAGTGGGAACGAGTTCTGTTATTCAAAAACTGCTATGCTTTAACAATTTAATTGATTTCATTATGAAAAATGATTTCATTATGACCTCAACATATATATTGTTTTCATCAAATGCATCGTATCCCATCATGGAATATCCTTTTCTTCTACGTTACATCATATAGCAAAGTTAGCGTACGTGCTCAAGCTTCAAAAGTAGAAAAGAATATTACTCAAATTGTCTAGTGAATTTGTCGTAGTAGCTGCTTCAAAAGACTAAATTCATTTTAAGCTTCATATCTCGACAATAGGATGATAAATTTTTCTAGGGATTTCAAACTTCTAACTTTTCTTGCTTTAATAGCTCTTTTTACTGGTGTAGGAAAGATGACCTTAATTTCCCATCCAAAACTATTGAAATAACACAAGAAAATTAATTCATGAAGGAGGAAAGTTTGTTGTTAGTTTCAGAATACTCGTATAGTTACTATAATATTCTCCATTAAATGTGCCCTGGAGATTCCTAAGATTCCCCGGAGAAGATAAATCAGATCGCAACTGTGAAATGTATGAAAGCTGTTATAATGTATCAAAAATTCTGAAAATTCATTGCAAATTGCAATATATTCACAAACATAAACACATTCCACTCGAATAACATTGGATTCGAATAGAGAATTCAAAAATTCTGATCAAAATCACTCAAAATGGAAATCGCAAATTTTAAGAAAGGTCTTAGAATACCTAATTTAAAGTTATATTACTTTTCATGGAAGTTCTCAAGCTACTTTTACTTATTAAACAATTTGGAATTCTGGAAATCTCGTATGAATTCTTCGAAATTTTAGGGGTGCCTCATCATCGTAGCTTAAACAAAATAAGGAACATTATCATATCGGCAGTAATAAATGTTATAAAGAACATAACCCGCTTTTCCACTTGTTTAAAAAATTGTTCTAAGAACTGTACACAGAGAAAAATGTCGTACTTTGCGAGAATACCTGATTTTTGTCCATCAAAAAAAGATTGTTCATACATATAAAGAGGCTTGTATTGTTATCAATTATTGTTAAATTGACCTGCATAAATGAGAACAAAAATAGAGTATAATATCAATACAAATATTTCTTCAAGAGATCAGCGCATGAACAAGACGACAAATGCAAATAAGGCTATGAAGAAGGCCACCGACTAAATGATTGGTAATTAACAATTATCAGTTACAACTGGTTACCACCGTATCAAATGCACCATGCAATTAATGATGGTGAACTAATTGAAAGACAAATTGTCATAAAATTGCGAAATTTGATCAAAATAAAAGAAACAGAGACAGATTTTGTCATGTCATACATTCGTTTCTTGTTTTTTTCTGAACAGCATATCCTTCATATGGAACATGAATAAGAACTTGATTGCAAGATGTTCAATATTTTTAAAGTACTGATGTTACAAGTTATGCAAAAATGAAAAATTATTTTTAGCAAGAGAGGTATTTCTCAGCATGTTTTTTCAATAAACTGATAACCGTATAAGCTTCCGGAAAAGGGCAGCTATCAGAGCCTTGCTGTTCCAGTACCTGCTCTACTTGAAATGCAAGTAGAGCTAACTGATCGACTTTACTATATCCACAAAATGGATTTTCTGATGATTCCACCTTCTGAAAATATTGGTGGATAAGCACAAAGTGTGCAAAATGTAAACAGGTAAATTTATTATAAATTACAGTATGATTGTTAGTTTTGACTCCCTGTTTTTAATAAAGAGCAAAAAAAGAATCTGACCGAAGATGATGATGCCACAGTATCAAGCAGATCGGCCATCAAGCGAACACTACGAGTACTTTTTTCCTGTAATAATTCAGATTCTTCTAACGTTAGAAAAATTTTTCGATAAAAAAAATGAAATTAATTGAACCAGAAGTCCAAAACTGTCTTCTTTTAATTTCTATTTCAAAAAATAGAAAATTAAGATATAAAAAAATCAAAGCAAATGAAAACTCATTACAGGACAGTAATCAGGTGAAGAAGCCTGATTAGCTAGTGATTGGATTGTTTTTGGCAACTGGCGAGATTGTTCGGCTGAAAATTTCTGCAAATTATTACACAAATTTAATTTCAATTGGCTAATTTAAATCAATTTCAAATAAAGTACAATTACTTACTCCAGCCATTGTTTCTGAGCGCCAAAATTGGATTTATAAAGCGCAGAATGAAGAATACACTGAAAATAAAACAGTCTTTAAATAAATCTGTTGAAACCAAACAGGAGAAATATTCAAAACACTTCTAAATGATATTTTGAAAATCAATGAAAGGGAACTTCCGACCTGCAAGCTTCTTCACAATTCATTGCATAATAGTAAAAAAAGACTACTTTAATGATCAATAATCTCACTAATTTTTTTTATTCATTTTTGAAAAATTTGTGAAACTTCTTAGTAAACTGCTTTTCCAATTCGATTATAAAAAAAATATTTTACCTGGCAACTCGACGCGCAATATGTTCAGAATTATTGAAATACGCTTTTGTTATTTTTATGATATGTGATAGAATGGCGCGGAAAAGAAGAGGTAGATGATCAGATAAGCTCTTCAGGGCATTCATGATTTCCAATTCCTGCTTCGGTGGCCCTTCAGCAGTTAGCAAATATGCTAGCTCCTCCGTAACCAGATCTTTACCAGTCATACGTAGAACTGTTGAAATACAGCAAGTACAAAATGAATCACACCGAAAAAGTGTTACCTCTGAAAGAAAAATCTTATAAGAGAAGAGAAAAATAACTGTAAAAATTTAAACACTTCTAACTTTGAACTAATTTTCCGCCCTCATTTAAAATTTGTTATAGCCAATTTTCAACAAGTTTCGAAATATTGCTAATTTTCTACCAAATATTTATGAAAGTATTTATTTCCTATTAAGAATTTTTCTTTTTTACCCCCAATATCTAAGAATCTTATTAAAAATTCCTGTAAACTTCTACAAGTTTCAACTCGTTTTTGTGTGTCAACTGATCTGATTAGTACTTTTCGCAGTTGGAGTCGGAATTTTAATACTTTCAAATGTTTCATAAATACGTAAATTCAAAAAATACCAAACCAGTTTCATGTTTAATTTGCTCCCTGATGATAATTTCAACAAATGACATCAGTAAGTCGTAATTTGGCAATAAAACAGAGAGTAATAAACGAGCAAAATGTTTTCGATTAAAGACATCCAAGACGGAGCCAATCCAAATGGATAAAATAAATGATCGAGTAGTGAGCAGCACAAAAAACGATGCATACTGTTCTTCCGGTAGTAAAACGATACGATGACGTACTGCACGAAACAGAAATCCTTCAAAATTATTTTCCACGCAAAACTCTTTGCCATCGTCTGCTAGTAAATAGAGTGGTGATACATCTGAAATTAACTTAAATAATAAATGCTAATTTCTTCTAAAAAATAAAAAAAAGGAAAACTAGCAATATACTGCATTATTTACCAGTTCTAACAACATATTCTAATACCTTGCTGCAAGAGTGTCATATTTCAAGTTTTAACCATATGATATAATTCAGAAAAACAAAAGAGAAAGGACAATGAAAGCATATTATCTAATAAAGTCAATAATAAACAAACTTATTATACAACCTTTTTGAAAATAATCTTTGGATACAACTTTGCTAGTCTTTGATAGAGGGTTATGTGAACAAAGTTCAAGTTTCAATGAACATGGTCCAGGAGGAATGTACCTGAAGTAGAAATGCAATGAAACCTGATGGCTATATCATTCGAGTTGATTTTAGAAGTACTCAGGTCATTAAAATTGATTTAAAGATATTCATTAAACCATTTCGATGTCATGATAGCTAGTTCGTTCAAAAAGAATGTATATCAAAAAGAATGCATAAAGTTATTATCAAGAAGAACTTACTGCAGCAGAAAACACCTGTTGAATATAATGGTATTTTTTGTAGGCATCACTTGTTGAGTTTTGGTCAAAAAAATCCCATTTATCGCCATTATCGCACTATATGAGAAATCTGGTTTAAAATAATTACCCCTGAAATCAATCTGGTGAGCATGTCTAATTCTTAATCACTAGCGAAGATTGATACACTTTTTATAATAACAATTCTTATCGAATAAAAGCAGGATGTATGATCCCAGTAACAATATGCAAATGCTCAAGAGTGTCCAAGAATAATAAAGCGATGCGTTAGTTGATTATGCTAATCAACAATAAAAGAGGACATAACAAGAACTGGATTGTTGAGCTTTTCGAAGATTGACTTCTAATTACGCCATTGCTGGATAATATATTAAATGAGAGGGTGGTTTTGATGAAAGAATGCCAGAAAGGAAAATACCAGAAACCTACCTAAAACTTGTTAAAGTTAAATAAATGACAGTTGTCGAACGAATAAAGTAATCCTGCATAGCAGGGATTACAGCAAATGGTGATGGTGAATGACGATAACCGAAACATCGCAGCCGTAACACATTGAGCCAATTTAGATAAATACCTTCGTTTTGAAATGATAAATGAACTGATGGATAAATATCTAGACCATTTAGGGCAACCAGCAAACAATTCGCTCTATCAAATGATCCTTCCGGGATTTTATAAACAAAGCAAAAATTAAGATCCAGAACCACTTTTGGCTTTGTACTCTGCAAGAAAAGAAGTGTCTTTTATGTAGTTGTTCATTTACATGAACCATAAAAATCACTTTTAATAATGGAATATTAATAATGAAATAATAATGTAACTATAATTTTAATCGGTTAAAAAAAATAATATTGGTACCTTTTCATGATCTAAAACGTACAGTTGTGAGCCATTCGAATCACTAAGTCTCACATAGCAACGCTTCCATTTATCTTCTTTACCTGAAACTTATGAAAATATAATCTTCAAAAATCACAATAACTCCATTCTAAAGTTTAGTTGCACTATTACTATAATGGTAAAGATATCATGATATATGCACTGCATAGATCAACATATCCTACTCATATTGCCAGACATATGATTTTGAACGCATTAATTAAAAATCAATGAAATAATTTCTTCTGTTCCCTTCTTACATGTGTTAATTTATTGTGTATGGCAGCATTTGTGAAGGCAACAGACCAAAATATCCCATTTTTTGAAGAATTTCATATGAAATCCTCCACATATTTCCCTTTTCATCAAAGAAATAGAATCTCCCAGCGAAAGATGCGTCAGAATCTTCAAATGCGAGCTTAATAGAGATTTTATCTACCGAAATGTCTTGAAATTTTAAAGAATAATGTCAAATAAATAAGTCCTCACATCTTCGATAAGCATATGCTTCTAAAAAGGTCTTTGGACAAAAACTATTGGCGGTAAGGCTCTGGATATCCGCAATTTTTCCCGACAAGTCCTTTGTTAACACTGCACGCATCAGATGAAATCCTTCGCAAATTTCCTTTTTGCTATATCTACAAAGTAATGAATTTTGAACTTAGGATATACTTTTAAAAATTGACATCTCTCGCAACGATTAGTGGATAGAGTGACAACAGATTGGTACATTCCGATCATCAAAGAAAACCAGTCAGTTTTTTTCTCAATAAGCGAAAAAGCCATAATATTTCATGATATTAAACATGTGCATATCATCATTTTCCAGTTTTCGTATACGAAAGATGAGAATGCATCACTATTCGAGTTGTAAAAAAATGAAGCGGAAACTTTACCTCTCAATAATATCCGGAATCGTCGGAAAAGTTCGCCCACCAATTTCAAAATTACCATCCGACGTGCGTTTTATTTGAAATTTTTCAATATGTGCACCGGTATTTACCATCAGCGTGTATGAATTGGACTGCACAATTGAATGGCGTAAAAGATAACAACCGTCACCATCTGCATTTAAATTCATAAATTGATTAATTCTTTGCAAAAAATAAAATTTTAAACCGAAACTTTCGGTCGTTTAATTTTGCTTTTTTTTTCAGAACCTTATATTAAAGACTTTAAAGAGAGAACCACCTTATATTTCTTATCATGTCATTTCTTAGTGATCGTACATCTACATTTTGAACAGAAACTTAAATAAGTTTTTACAAGTTATTTCGCTTCATTAATCTTTAGAAAAGTTCTCAAACTTTTCCCTTAAATATATGAATTAAACAAATGTATATATGAAAATGCAAAAATTACGCTGTATTAGCCGTTGTGTAAGCACATTTACTGGTTCATCATGAAAATATGGTAACTCTTCGGGTTTCACACTCTTGTCATTCTGCAGTAATAAATGAATAAAATAAAACATCAGTTAATTTTACCCCTGCGTACATTCAAAAGCAATGGAAACAACTGAAAACAGCTTATGATCAACTCATAATTTCATCTCATTTAAAAAAGGAAAATGCTATTTTAATAACCACTGACTTTTTCCCATTTTCGGATAATTATTAGGAAGATCTCTTTGAAGATACAAGGACAAAAGAAATATAAGCTTTGAAGCAGCCCCGCTACTACAATTATCATGAATTGAAGAAAGACTAACTAATGGAACAGTAAGTTGCACAGCGATAAGTCCGGATTTCCCATTTTTTTCCAATCTCGCCCACGCCCATTCATCATCTACTCGCTGGATTTCAGTTAACAAATCACCTTCACAAAAGCTGAATAAAACAAATATCAATTTAATTTTTGTTCTCCTTTCAACATCCATAAATATACATTCATTGATAACAGCCTGGATATAGCAATCTTCTTTAACAAAGAAAATCATAACAAGTAAGCAGATGACAGAGCAATAGATTTTTCAGAAGAAAATGCAGCTCACAAATGGATATTATAAAGTCCGAGATTAGAATATGTTATCTGGATTGTAAAAATCCAAAGACTGATGAAAATAATAGTAAAATTAATAAACACAAAATTAAAATACATTAGAAACAAAAAAAAATGAAAAACATGAAATTAATTTTACCATTACCTTATTTCATCAGTATCAGGCATTGCATGAAACGGTAGAACGGCTATCCTTTGACGGTTAACTAATTTCACCGGCTACAAAAAGAAAACTATACAAAAAATATGCGAATTCAAACTTCCCGAATACGCTGCTCCAAAAATTACAATTTTGTTTTGCATATTGTGGTCTTTTCTATTTTCACCTATAATCTGTACCACTTCCCTTCTAAAAAAGAAGAGTTAAGACAAAATTAATGTCAAATAAATATGCAACATGAAATACCGAAGGTGGTTGAAGTGGTAGCACTGCTGCTTTCGATTCACTTATAAATGCTTCAATGAGACCAGACAACGTTGTGAAGGATTTTCCAGACAGGAAATATTCACCACAAACTCGATCGATGCTGAAATTCCTCATTTATCACGCACGATAAGAACAGGAAATTACTAATTAGAACTATGAAGATTAAAAAGCATATTTCTCCCAGTGAAAAAATTTTTTTTTAGAAATAAATGGTTACAAATTCTTTAGTCAGTGTTTCATTTAAGCTGAAACTGAGATAATCAAATCACTGTACACTAATCCACATAATTAACATTTTTTTTTCCTTCTCACTCTCTTCCCCTAAACCTTCCATACTAATAGCGATCTCAATTAAAACTTAATAAACATGCTTTAGTATAAAAATTGTTAGATCTTATTTCATGCTAAGTACGGTACATCTTTTTTATTGAAAACAATGAATGGGATGAGTATTCGAGAGAGCATAAAGATTTTTCAAGTCGAGAATACTCCTTACAATTGGAATTATAAACCAGCAAAATTCTGTAAAATCATCACAAAACTCTTTTTTAAGAAAATTATTAACGAAAAGCTCCAAATCCCTAGAGCAGCAAGCATGTTGAAAGGAATAATGAAAAAAGGTTATTTTTGTTACAAGCAATCTCTCCATGCAAATGCATGAAACCAATCCGATGAACGTGAACTACAAATTGAGTACGGAAGATAAAATGACGTACTGCTTCATATTTAGAATAAAAATAACATCATCTTCGATAGTGCTATCCGCTATCTTTTCGGAAGTTAATATAACATTGGACTGCGAGAAAACTTACGATAAATGCATCACTGAATTGCTGGTTTGCGGTAGCCAAGAAAGACGAAATTTCGGTGTGAGAGAATTTTGTTCAGCATGCAAAATTAAAGCACCATCAATTTTACATTTTCGTAACCGGTATTCCACTTCTTCTTCCGTAATAAAACCATGAAAACAATCTACCGAGTCTAATGATACACTTGACCTTTCCTCCACTTCCGTTTTCAGCCGCGATTCATGTTCATGCTTCTCTTCCATCCCATTCGACATCAGACCATCTAGAATAATTTATAATTATGTAAAATAAATTTTGAAACAATTCAACGACGCAATTTATAGAAAGAAGGAAATAAGTCGCAAAAGTTCAACCTCACTAAACCTACCCTGAAGATTTTAGCAAAAATAATTGCAGGCTACTACAAAGAGAGAAAGAAAGATAAAATTGAAGTTCCCAAACCAAAATTGCTTAGAAAAAAAGAGAAAAGAAAGATGATAGCAATCAGAAGTTACCTATTCTATCCTAAATTGCCAGCCACGTCAGTAACATGCAAGATTAACATGCAAGATCGGAACCCATAAAAGGAAGATGAAAATATTAAAAGAAAATGATAATTGCTATTTTTAAAACCAACAATTAGTAGCAATATTAGAAATGCTCCGATTGAAAAATCTGTGATTGCAAAAATAGAAAAAAAATCATAAAAAAGCAAAAAAAAAATAAAATGTCAAATTTTCGACCAGAGTATAGAAAAGACTTGACAAGCAATTTATTACTATTTCACTGGAAAATTCACAAAATTTTGAATGATTTCAGATGAGAACTGTAGCACAACGACTGATATGAATGAATGATACAAAGAAGAGACGGCTACCAAATATTTGTTTAAAAGCAAATATCGAATTCATTCTATTGTGGACATTAATCTCATGATGGTGACCCAATAAATTTTCTGCGTCAGCAGTTGAATTAAATTTTATCTTTAAATTTTCATTTCATTTATTCGTCAAATTTGGTGAACGAAAGAAAGAATAAATGCGTAAATTATTATTGCTAAAATAATACCGTTTGTTAATATTTTTTAAAAAAATGAAAATCTATAAAATTTTTAAAACAGAAAATACAAACAAAAGCTAGGAAAGATATATGTATATAATAAGTCCGGGTTATTCGAAAAGATCATCCTCATGTTATAAGCTTTTTCTTTCTCATTTAATTAATTAAACAAAAACAGAAGATTAAGCATACTCTGAAACTATGGAGATCTTTTAATGTTATTCTTAGCTTCATTAATGATGTCACTGATAATTACAGAACGATTATAATAAATAAAAGACAATAACTATCTATTAATGTTATTAAGAGATAATGATTCTTCAACTATTAAGCTTCACTGGTTACAACCCAAATAAATAAAAGCATAACACTAATCGGCAAGCTGTAAGTAAGCAAGCGTAAGTATTCTAATACTAACTTCAATTATTAAAAATTAGTAATTCGAAAAAAAAAGAAATAAATAACATGAATAATTTTTCACAAAAGAATGACAGCCTATTTGGAAATTGAATTTAATGTTTCACTGGCTAAGAATGAGGAAATCTCGGGAGTCATAGATTCTTCGCTAATCTATTTCACAGACTAGACATAAATTCCACCAAAGTCTTGAAAAAAAAAAAAATTCGTGCCATCAATTTTATTTATGCTGAATATCAATAGACCAATACTTGCCAAACTTGTCATCGTGATTCAAATGAAATATGCAACCGTCTGATTCCAATCTAATCTTATTCATAATATCATCCATTATTGTTGATTCAGTAGATTAGTCAATATAAGCGTAACTTGAAATTTGATTAAAATTTCACACCTAACAATCATTCTGAGCTAAAATGATATGCAAAATATTTGTTGCCGAATTCTAATCTTTATAAAAATACAAAAAATTGCTTGTGATCACAAGAAAACGTACACAAATGACAGATAAAAATATATTGCTTCATTAAACTTTTGTCAATGTGTGGATTTGTGTGAAAACATTTGTAGGCCTAACAAAAAAGCAATAATTTTCTATTATCAAAAAAAAAAAAAGAGATAGAGGGATAGAGAGAGAGAGAGAGAGAGAGAGAGAGAGAGAGAGAGAGAGAGAGAGAGAGAGAGAACGAAAAAAACTCATAAAAATGATATTGTCTCAATTTGGCATTTCTGCAATATCATACTGTTTGAACGAAGTATGCTTCACATTTTTCACTCTCATATTAAAATTTTAATCATAACTGTAAAAGAAAAAAGAGGAAAACCGAGAGAATAAATTCTAAATAAAATAATGGAAAAAAGAAGGTAAAAGAAGTGAACGAAAAGAGGAAGGAATGAAACAAGTTTTGTATTGCAAAAATTTGATTATAAGTGATGATGGCATTTGATAGTAAAATTAATCGTTAAATGAAATTTTACATAATGCTAAAATGTACTTCATTCGTGTTTCTTTTCTAAATTAAGAAATATATATATATATATATATATGTGTGTGTGTGTGTGT